AATCAGGCTGAAAAATCGATAAGCCTAATGTTTCCATGTCTTTGGGACCTAAAGCAGATGCATCAAACACGACATGCCATCCGTTTTCTTGTGCAATATTCATCCATTGATACGAATATCTCGTTCCCGTCACTTTAGACTGAAGAGGGAAAACAAATAACCCCTGTTTCTTCTTGACACTAAGCGTTTTTCCTAGTTTTCTTGAGTTGATTCTCAAATTAGGCCATGAGAACTCTGCTGCTGCCACTTTAGCCCCTTTTCTCCTAGCGTTATCGATCATTCCTTCCACTGCTTCATTTTCATGATCGTAAACTGTAAGGAGGTTAGGATTAGACTCGAAGGGGTACGAGTCAGCCAAGAGGTTAAATGCAGAAGATTGGTTAGCTGTGAAGACCATGGAGTAGTCATGCTTAGAGACATTCATGTATTTCATAATCCTTTTCCTCATTTTACGTTCTGTAACAGATTCTTGACCTCCGTAGAGCAGTTGAGTAGTTAAACTCACTGACTTATACGAAATGTTAAAGAAAGGCTCGTCGTGAGTAGGAGGAGGTGGAGCTGATGATGATGAAGAGGCGATTGAATCGTGAATTGGATGAGATTTGATCATCTTCTGTTGTTGGTAGTAAGAGAAAAGACCATTGCCAGTGTAATCAAGACAAACATGTTTCGATAGAGTGAGGTGATGGTATTCGTTAGCTCGAATTTCATCTGCAAGATTAGTCTGGCTGTAATGTGGATACGCTTCTTGTAAGTTGGCAAATAGTTCCTCGTAAGAAGGTAAACACTCATGGTTAGTGAATTGGGAATTTGGATGGATGGATGAAGCTATTGCATCGATGAATTCGCGATGACAAGTGATGATTATGCTGATTCTAGAGGAGGGATTTTGATCTCCATGGGAATTCTGGCAGCAAATACAACTGAAACAAGGTGATTGCATTCTTGTTTTAGGGTTTTCTTTTGGTCTTTTTCTTGGCCTTTGTGGCTTGTTGCAGCCTGCAGGATGATATGTGTAAACTAAATTTGAGTTGTTATTTAGACAAGTCTAGAGGGAAAAGAGTTGATCCCTTCGTCCCAACTTAAGTGTCTTAGTTGTTAAAGATATGGTATTAGAGTCAATTTAAGTTTTCATAGAGGCCTGGTCGTGTGAGGGAGTGTTAAGAAGTCTCCACATTGGTAAAGGGATGTGAACTCAATTTTTTATATGAATTTGGACAAACCTCTCTTCATGAGTTGACTTTTAAAAAATTGAGTTAGATCGAATTACCATATCTGAAAGTGAAGTTCAAGAAATAAAGATATGCTATTGAATCTCATAATCTTAAATTAAAAATGTGTGTAGTCTATTTCGAAATGACCACAAAGAAAAATACACTTTTTTTTTGGAACGACTAAAAAAAACGTAAGACGCTTAAATTGGAACTAAAGGAGTAACACATTAAAGATATGATTTGACCATTTCTATCTCAATTTACAATGACCTCACATGTGTCTCTCATAGGACATAAAGTTCTATATTTGAAACTTAATTATTAGGCTTGGTCAATCTATGAATAGTCACTACATAAAATCATTACTTTTCTGATTAAACATTTGAAAGGGTCTTAAGTCTTGCCGATTAATACTAATCTTGACAGCTTAAATGCCTCAAATTTTCCATCAAAATAATCTTAAGATAATATTAGCATCCAATAAAATGTGTGATCAAACAGAGACAGAGCCAAAAATTTAGTTTATGAAATCTGAACATAAGATTCTTTTAAAACTCATTTTTATTTATGGGTTCGAAGCAATTATTTATACTTATTTAGTGATTTTTTTGATACATATTATTAAATAAATTTGTAACGTGTACTCTAGGTCCGCCCCGAAAGTAGCCTGGAAATTTAGCTGGAAATGTTAGCATATGCAAAAAGAGCATAAAAAAACAAGGATTTATGCTTTTTATAGTGGCCGGCACTATCAATCTATTTTTCATAGAAATTTCACTAGGATGATTTTTCTAAAATAAATAAATAAAATTCTTGGACTTGTTTAACGTGGTCACTTTTCACAAATTTTGATTCAACAAAATTCCAAAATTCTATGTAGTCTAGTTGCTTTCAATCACCATAGTACATTTATATCCCCACCAATAATGTTAGAAAATATCATTATTTTTTTTAGGTTAAGTTAGTTCCATATAAGTTCCTTGAGATAGTGGTTCAAAATAAATGTGATCTAGCTATGTATATACATGTGTTTATAAAATTTTAAATGTATATATTGTTTGATCGAAGATTTAGTTTAATCTATTGCAGTTGTCTTAAATCGGTTATGGTGAATTAACATGCTAGACAAAATATTTAAATTAATTAGGATTGAAAAACCTATCCAATAATATTATTAATTTTTTTTTAAAAATATGATAAAATTTAGATAGATATATAGCTATATTTTCACTCTTGCCGTTTGGGCGGTTGATACTTATATAAATATAATGCCAAGTTTTGTGCAAGAGTTACACCCTATAGACTTTATCAATACAAGAAATTTTTTGTACACACAGCTAAGTGTGAGTTGTATCATCCAACTAGTATTTTAAAAAATATTTTTCACTAATTATAAATTTATAATCGGATTTTTAGAGCAATAATAAAGTTAAATAATCGAATCGCAATAATAAAGTTATATAATTGAATCGTAGAATCGATGCTTATATTGTTTACTATTTGATGTACTTATGTTGCGTACAAAGGAAGGCAAGGGAAGACTCATCGTCAAAATAACAACCAACCAATGACAAAATACATTTCCTTATGTAGGTCCTATTACAATAGAAATTTGACAATCGTATGTATTGTTAAAGAATGAAAAAAATCCCTTATCGATGATTAATGAGATGAGTAGACTCATTATACGGCTTTGACAACCCTCCTTCCTTTGAGCTAGCCTTTGGGGTGTAAGTTAAGCCTAACACTTAATTTCACGTGCTATTAGAGCAGCAATACTGGGTGTGATGTGAGGTGTTAAAAAATGACAAAAGTCCAACACAGGCTAGATTTTGGAGCCTAAATTAGGCTTAAGACCTAATTAATTTCACACGTGTTATAAATGAAAAGATTATTCTATACCAAAACCTTTTAACACAATTTTAATTTTATCTTTGTGTACCTTGTGAAGAAGGAAAATGCTAGTTTTATTATATCATGATAAATTTGACTAGACTAAGTCAACTAGCTGGTTGTACAAGGCAAATATTGCATAACAGATCAATAGGGTCATGTAAAGCTATCAATCTCTTTCAAGTCTAGCATGCATATGGTCAAAAAGTAGTTAAATCCTATTTGGTGTGTAGTGAGATGGAAGTAGACTGTTCTAATGAAAAATCTAGTAATTAAATTGATTGGTAAATTATTCAAACAGAAATATGTAAATGAGAATAATATGAAAGGTAAAATATATGTAAATGTTTAAACTAAAAATAATAATAATATAAACGGAAAAAAATATCATAAAATGTTGAGAGTGGGATTTGAACCCACGCCCTTTCGGACCAGAACCTTAATCTGGCGCCTTAGACCAACTCGGCCATCTCAACTATATTTATATGTTTCACCAAATACAATTAATTACTTTAATATGTAATTAGGTTATTCACACATATTTGTAGGTTGTAAAACAATTTCAAGGTAGCAATTAAAACCCTTCAAAGCTCCAAAAACTTATAAATACTTTTGATGTGCGTTTCTAATGAATTATTTTGACCTCGTACTTCAGATCAAAACGTATTTAAATCATTCATGTATATAAATTATCAGATCATATATATAAATCGAAGTAAACACAAAAAAAATCCAATATATGCTAATTAATTAATAAAATGATAAACCATACCAACAAAAACAAATTAAATAATCATTTAACATAAAGATCGTCGATTGAGCTATATGCCAATTGTAATGCATTTCCATTCTTCTTCTTCTTTCTCATCGATCATATAAACATAATTAAGCAGAGGCAATCATAGGGCAACTCTCCTTTGGCAGATTACATTCATAATCATATATCTGCCAAACGGAGAATTGCCCTACAACTGTTTCACTTAATAAGCACACCAATAATAACATATTTAGTATAATTTTCCAAATGAGAAATGTACACATATTTTATAATCTCTACCTCACAGAGTCAGTAATCAAATTAGAATATTTTTTTTTAACCACCTCATACAAATGATGAATAAAATTTATAGGGACATACAACACTTAGTGGTTGCACTACTGAAATTGGATATGCCATTCTATTATGCCACAAGCATGAAGGATATCTTCTTATGATGCCTCCTACTTTTGAGCATTCCACGCCATGCAAATTATCTAGAGATCATGATCTTACGTTCGAGGTGACCCAGTAATTTGAGCTTAGGATTTTCATATTGGAGGTTTGAAATTCAAAATTTCTTACAAGCGAAAGCAAGGGATTTGCCTTCTGGGTCAAACTTATTAGGTTTATCTAGTGCGAGTTACCTCTCTTATGTGGTTTGCAAACTTTTGTATAGAAACGAAAATTTTACCCCGTACACACTAAAAAAATAGCGACCGCAGATTTCCAATATCATAAATAAAAAAATAACTTAAATTATTTGAGGAATATATAAAGAAGGATATCATTCCCTTTGACAGAGCTAGCAGAGATGCTTTAGGAGTAGGTGGCAAACAATCTTTTCTACTTTTGAGGTATATCCTTTGTAATATACTTTCTCCACACTCAAATATATATATTTCCTATTCTCGATCGTACACTAAAATACTTGTAGCTAATATAATTTTTTTAAATATGTCGTTAAATAAGATGAGTGACAAATTTTATAATTTAATTAGACCGTTGTTTATCGATAATTAATTTTTATTATTTAATCGTAAAAATGTGATCTTTCAATAGAATTCATTATAAATTGACTCGTCAGAAATATTTTTTCAAACGACATCCCAATGAAAATGTTCATTAAAAATTAATTCAGAATTATTCACCAGATCAATAATTAAGCTTAAAACATATTGTTACTGAAATTATGGGGATTATTATTACAGAGAATGAACTCAATTTTTTACATCGTATTATATATTCTTAATTAATCCACTCTCATTCATAAACAAAAGATAACAAAAGAAGAAGAAACGAATTTATTATCAATTAATTTGACTCCTCTTTAGCAAGTCTCTCATTCACTATCCTTACTCCCATATACCTGCACATTTTCCAAAAAAATGGTAATATTTTAGTAATCATCACATCTTAATTTCAACAAATTATAGGACTTTGGTATATAGTTTAATTAATTCTTATCCCTCCATCTCAATTTATCCAAAGTATATTAGATTGAACACAATTTTTAAACCGAAAGATCCCCCTACCTACAAGTAGTCATAAATCATTTTTTAACTTGTTAATAGATATAAAAAATGTGTTCTTTTCCTGAATAAACAAGAAGAAAGAAGATGGTGTGGTGCACGAAGCATTTCGTGTTCATGAGAATTCAGGGAAGAGCCACACCTCAATTAAGGCGTATATATAATATACAGAATCAACCTTGATGCAAGCATCAATGACTGATTCCACAGCTCGAACCAGTGACCTACAAATCACGTGGAGACAACTTTATTGTTGCTCCAAGATTTCCTTTCAAAGGTGTCAATACTCTTTTGTAAGTTACTTTTGCTCGAACCGATGACCTATAGATAACTTTACTGTTACTCCACAGTGTTGAAGGAAGCTTAAAGATTGATGGAACATGTCCATCGAAGCAGACTGACGTGTTAGAGCTTCCTTCAACACACAGTTCCTTTTGAAAGATGATGTCATATTCTTTTAGACAGACTAAAAAGAAAATAAACAGTTACATAAATTAGAACAGAAAGAGTATAAATTAGTAGAAATACTAACCTTCCAAGCATCATGACAGTGGCTTGAGGATTAGTACCAGGAGAATAATTAAAAGTTGAACCATCAATAACCCTCAAATTATCAATACCAATAACCTTATAATCTTGATCAACAACATTGCCAACTTGACACCCTCCATGATAATGCCAAATTGTCATAACAGTATCTTTACAGAATTGTTCCAATGAGACTGAAATATTGTCATGTTTAGGCAATAAATTGACTGGAGCACTTGCAGTCAAATTAAGTAATGCTGGCAATGAAATTGAGTCATATCTGAATTGTGAAAATGATTTTGACTCAATTATATTTTCTATAATTTTGAGTCCATCTACACATCTTTGTAAATCTTCTGGCTCTTTGAAATAATTAAATGTTACTGATGGGTTGTCATTCGGGTTCCGGGTTCGGAGCTCCAAATGTCCAGTGGATATTGGGCCCATTATTTTTTCTAATATGAATCCTCCTCTAAATGCTGCTGCATCTAGTGCATTCATTGAATTTATAGCCTTTTCTAAGGCTTCTGGTGTTCTTTGCTTTGGTGGCACTGTTGATAGCTGACCAATCTGGAAACAAAATGGCTATTTTTGTAAACTTTTGTGTTCAAATAAACATCAAGGACTATATTGGGCTTCACTTAGGCCCATTTAATATTAAGTTAGAGAAAGTTTGGGCCTCACAAGAATATACATACATTTTGTAGTATGTAGTATAACTTATGTATACCAATAATATACCATGTGTTTTAGCCTGTCTAATTTTTCATTATTAATAATCTGTTTGACCAAAAATTTTACTTATTTTGAAAAAAAATATTTAATCAGAAGTTCATTTTGACAAAGTATTTTCAAAGATTAACAATTTGTATTTGACTAATCAATTTACAAAGTAACTTTTTGCTAATATTAGAACAATAATTTGCATTGTTTAGGAAAGCGATCGCTTCATCTCTTTAGCGATGCGAGCCTTCTACACTTCACGAAGCGCTCAAAGCGTGAAGCGGGGCCTTATCGCTTTTTTCCACTTCACGCTTCCCTAAATACTGGTAATTTGTGCTAGACCAAGGTTCCAAAATTGTTTAAATCATTTTATTGCCATTATATAGAAAGATTTTTATTGATACCATATTATAGACTACAACTTCAAATTAGAAAAAGATTTAACTTATATGTACCGGTAATGTCTTTTAACTTTTTATGATAAGTTACCTATCTTATTTTATAGGTCACTACTACTATATATCACGAATGATAACCCGTATATATATATATATATATTAGATAACTTGATACTCTAAAATATATGTATGTCATCAGTATATATAACTTAAAATCACGAGAAAAAATTTACCTTCGGGGAGAACATTCCATAATCACTCCGACTAGAACGATAACCGGAGAAATTCTCGCCGGAGGCAGCTTCAATATAAGTTCCAAATCTTGTAATACCCACAACTTGTATAAGAGAAACTTCAACAGGTAAAGGTGATGGCACAAATATTGCATTCATTGGATTATCCATCATGTTTTGTCCAACATTGGGCTGATCCAATACAACTGTAATGTTATGGGCCTTTAAGTGTTCTGATGGGCCTACACCACTTAACATTAACATTTGTGGGCTTCCAAGTGCCCCAGATGATACTATTACTTCATTCATTTCTCCTCTTCTTAAATATGCTGTGTGTTTTTTTCCTAATGCATCTCTAAATATTACACCATGAGCTTTTGGTCTTGATAATCCTGCAAAAAAGTTGTTTAAGTAATACTTTCTTAATCATATATTAGAAATAAATTAATGAACTCCCATTAGTTAATCACACGTAAACAATGTAACCATCTGTCCTGACTTGACACAGAGTTTAAACAGTCATAATTGTTTGTGTGACTACATATCATCTCATGATTAAATGTAATATAAATATTTTAAAGTTAAATTATTGCCAATGTAGAAACATGTCATTCTTCTAACTAAAATGATAAAAAGCTTGTTTGGATTCACTTTTGGCTTATGATTATAAGCCAAAAACAATAAGTTAGGATTTCTAACTTATTATTTTGTTATTTTGGCTTTAAAATAAGTGTTTTAAACATTTTTTAATTTTACTCAAACACTGCAGCTAAAATAAGTCAATCCAAACAGACACTAAGTATGTCATATAAATTGAGACGGAAAAAGTATATTACACTTGGTAAAATATTTTATAGTCAGAGAATTGTCATATACTCTTGATACGTGTCAAAAGTCTAGCTCCCATAATGTCACGGACAATGTATTCAGCCAATTGAGGGCGGGTTTTTGGGTATAGCAAGCCTTTATCGATCATAATTTTGTTTCGAGTCAAATAGTATCACTTAAATAAAACGGATTTCGTTTTCTTTATTCGCATGAGAAGATACGTACCTCTAGTTTGGAATATGATTTTGTGAACGGTAGCATGCAAAAGTAGTGTAATTCCACTAGGTTTAGCATACTCAAGTAGATCGGCAGCCGTGTGCCGACGGCCGGCGGCATCGAAAATCGTGCCCCCAATTTTAGTTCCATTAATATGATCGTACGTAAATCCATTGTACGGCACCACCCCTGACTCCACAAGACCGTCGCGCACGGCGGACTGCCACTGCCTCACCGGCGGCTGAAACGCCACTTTATTTTCCACCCAAACATACGATTCGTTCACGAGTTGTCCGTCCCATCCAACGCTGCTCACATACTTTGTGCCGGCGCGTGAGTAAAATCCGGCGTTTAAACAACTTCCGCCGCCCAAAACGCGTGCACGCGCGTTGATTACACCGTCCTCGGAGATGAATCGCTGAGATGGCGATTTCGGTGAGAGATCGGAAAGTGCAGATCCGAATGCCGATAAATATGTGATATTAGGATTTCCGTAAGGTGAACCACCGCGCTCTAGTAGAAGTACGTCGTAGTTCTGAGAGAGCGTGGCGGCTAATGGGCAGCCAGCGGTGCCGCCGCCGATGATTATGTAATCGTAATGTGATATCTCCGGTGCTGTAGTTGCTTGGCGCATAAATGAGTAATTTGGAGCTGCAAGTTTATACAAAAAAAAAAAGTTTAAATTTTTGTAACTAAACAAAAATGAATTTAATTTTCATGCCATAAAAAAACTTCAATTTTAAAATATTAAGCCAATTTAACTTAAAAAATTATTTAACTAAAAAAATAATACTATCATATTGAAAAATAAAACATGTCAGTTATATCAAATTAAAAAAAGAGAATAAAGAATATTTACACAATCAAATTATTTTTACAAAAATTACAAGTAATTAACTTGCTACAATATTACAAGTTAAACTACATTGTTAACAGTATAAAAGAAAAGTTGTAGGTTTCAACCAATAATTTGTATATATATGAAAAAAAACTCATATTATAGGTGAAATTACATTAATAATATAAAAATTCTTCACGTTATCAATACATATAAAGTTAAACTTATAAAAAAAATATAAATTCCAATTTAACTTAAATTAATTTGTTAATATGCTAGAAATTCCTACTAGCCAAACAGAAACAAGTGTTCACTTACTACAAAGCATTGTCACACCTCTTCTATTTTTAACGAAATAAAATTTATCAATTATTTTTTTTTTTACGAAATTGCTAAATTACTATAAGAATTTGTTTACCTTTTTCGGAAGTACAAAATCCATGAAAGAGGAAAATTCCAAGAAGAGTAGCAATAATCAAATTAAACTCCATTTTGTTTAATTAATTTAATATATTTAATGATCTTAAGATTGATGGAAAAGTAGAAAGAAAAAAAAGATGTTATATAGTAAAATTCAAACAATTTGGACGGCAATTAATTTGGAAAACACAAAATGTTCCTTAATAGAATTTTCAGTATATAATTTTAAGGAACAAGAAAATGCAGGAATTGTGAATTTCTTGAATATTTGAGAAAGAAGTAGAACTATATAATAGTGATTTGGAGAAATTATATAAAGGAAGAAAGAAAATGACTAGTTAGGTCCAAAAAAATATGTGTAGAATTTGAATAAAGAAAAAAAAAACTATATATTATAAGTACTATTTTATTTATTATGGTAGTAGATAAGGCAAGGGAGAGGGGGAGAAGGTAGTTGTAAGATTTTAATTAAATAGGAAACATCTTGTTCTCTTTTATTTTCTTTCACATAATCATTATGAGTTTTGTCACTTTTAATTCTATCAAATGCCACACATTTGTGTGAAGGAAATTATTATTATAATAATTATTGAGAAAGTGTAGATATTATAAAATTTGGATTTAATATAACGTGAGGGGGATAACTAACTCATAAAATTATAACTCGTTAAATCTATCTAGGTTTGAATAGATAAATGACATGTTGATATGCCATTTAGATTGATCTATATAAGGAACTTCGTTTAAATATTTTTAAAATAATATCGTTTGTTTATCATATTATTATATATAGTCATAATATAAGAAAAGATTGTTTTATTAGGTACTCAATTAAACAAATGATTTAAAATTTGATATCTATTTAAATTGACTTATTTTAAGTATTTTTAAGTCAGTAATTTGTAAGCATCTTTGTTATGTCAGTATGATTCAGAAGGTGCTTATGAATACTCATTTTTAATTCAGAAGTTATAAGTTAAGATATATAACTTACGACTTTTGACTTATAAGACAGAAGCTATAAGCTCATCGAATAGGCACGTAAATATTAGGTGGGTTGAATTATGACCTACTCCCTCAGTCTCATTTTATGTGAGATAGTTTGATTTGATACAGTTTTAAAAAAGAAAGACTTTTAAAACTCGTGTGCAAAATAAACGATAAAAATTTATGTGGCTGTAAATCATTTCATTAAAAGTAAAATAGACATTTTATATAGTTAAAATGTTAATATAGAAATGTATCATTTTTTGGGACCGACTAAAAATGAAACGCAAACAAATTGAATTAAAAGGGAGTAATATTTATCAAATAACATTCCGACGTATCAATGATTGTTTCATTTATTAACTCAATTCATTTTACTATTGCCTAATTTTAACTCAATCCGTCAATTTAATGGCCTTAATATTAATGTTGTGTCCAATTTCTGAATCTTTAGCTTTGAACTTTAGTCTCAATGATATATATTTTTTTTATATATAAATATGTACATGCACATATTTTAGCTTGACCATGGTAATTCGGTTCCAGCAACACATATACATTGATTTTACTAATCTACTATATGAAGGTAGTATATAAGTTTTAGTTAGGGAGGATTATAAACATCTCTTATCAACAATGAAATATGTAAATAGACAACTTATGCTACAAAATCTCGTTCGTTACAAGTTGTTATCAGTGACGAATTTCATAACTAATGTTTATTGCGATCTATGTAGGGTATTGGTAATGGTTACGTTTTATTGTTTTAATGAGATATTGTAACAACTGTTTTGAGTAGCTGAAGATTATAATGAGAGAAATTAAACTCACCAATATTTCCATGTGTACTAATTCATCTTCATCCACATAACTCAATCTCTCTCTATTTTGAGTTTGAGGTCACAATTGTGTTTATTAATTATTGTTCATATTTTATGTTTCAACCAACCTCCTTTTGGTTTAATGATAATTGGTGTTCAGTCAGTTTTTTTGGTATCTTGACTAGTTATATTCACTCTATCTATCAAAGGTAGAACAGATGAGAAGAATCACCTAGTAATTTTTATCTCCGCTTAAATTTTGAACCGCTAAAACCTTCAGACCCAACCTCTTTTCATCAATATTAAATGTTATATAAAGAGTATAATTGGCGGTGGAATTCTAATTATTTTTCATCTGTAATTCTTTTCAAGGGTCCCAATTTGAAAAAGGACAATTGAAAATAAGTCATCAAAATTTATGAATATGAAGTCTAGTTTTATTGGTGTCTAACTAGCACAACTCAACTTCCAACCACGAAGTTATAGAGCAACAAAAAGTTTAAATTGACCACACAAAAAATAAAGGTTGAGGAAACAAATATTGTTTAATACAATGTTAATTGGCTTCTATAAACTTATATGTATTAAGACGTGAGACAAATTAAATTACTCTATTCATACACTTATACAAAGTTGTCAACTCTCAAGTGTAGATCAGCTTTTTTGTTTTTTGTTTGAACAATATATATTGTATATCCAAATTAGTGTTGTGTATGGCCAAGGGAAAACGTTCTTTACTAGAAATTTTAAAATTTTGAGAATTCAAATTCGAGACATCTAATTAATGTCTAATTCCAGTTAACGACGTAGGAAGTTATCGTAGTTCCATGAACCTTCTCCAAAGGCCATGATCTTCATACTAAATTGGCGATTATTTTTTCTTTTTTAACTTAGTATTGTCAGTTTGTACGAGGACAATTTAATTTCTTGTCAATATTTATTAATGACCCATCTAGTTGGCAGATTGCCCGTCGAAATTAATTAAATTGGGTAAGGTGTCACGTAATTGCTACTTCTCATCATAGTGAAACTTCTCTTTCTTTTCTAAAATAATGACCAAGTCTAAAATATTAGAATATAAAAAATAAACAAAAACATGTTTAATCACACAATACATCGACAAAAGTTTTAAATCTGCTAATATTATCGTCTGCTCTAAATCTAAGTTCGTAGGTCTATAAAAACCATATCACGGTAAATAATTTGTTTACTTATATACTCAAAATTTCTCATGTATGGACTCTTATCCCAAAGCTATCCCATGATTAAACAATGTAACCATAATAATTGAGACATAGTTCAAAATTAAAGTACGAATAGACACTATCTACTCATAGTTAAAGTAATAAATGTGTTGTCTACTAAAATCGTGACACAATTACTTCTATGAAGTATGTAATTCCTATTAAATTCACACATGAATTAACAACAGCTCAATGACGACAAACAGCAGATATTGAATAATAAAAACCTATTAAAAGTAAAGAAAACCAATAAACTAGTTATTAACCGAAAATTTACATCAATATTACACATTAGAAAAAAGTACCTACACAAAGACAACTCAGCTAAAGAACTAGAGAGGGAGGTGGAAAAGAATTGAGGGGTGATAATGCTATAATGGTCGACTACATTTTAAGAAATCCAAAAGGTGCTCAGTAAAGAGAATTGTATGTGTAACAGGTCGCGATAATAGAGGCTACACAAATCAAAAGTGAAGGGAGGAGTGTGACGTTCAAGAGCTTACTCTGTCCCAAATACCCAGCAAGGGTTATGGTTACATCTGCAATCACCCGAGCAAATGTGCCAGCTTCGGTAGACAAGAGACCTCCATTGTAGGTTCCACGAGAGAGTCTGGATGACATGACTCGAGAGAGGAGCGATAGATTGACACCTGATAACATCAACCAAATAAATAGAGAGATTCAGAATACAAGTAGTGTAAAACATGTACCTGACATCATCAGGATTGAATTATTCATAGTTTATGCTTGAGAGTTCGGTTTTTATCCAATTCAAGAACGTTTAAGAAAGATACAATCAGCAGGGTTAGGCTCATCATGGAAGATCTAACGGAAGGAATCAGTCGTGAAAAGTCCAACTTGTCTTTTTTCATCAATTAGTCTCTGCGCCTCGATCCACTTAGATTGAAAATTTTATTTCTGTTATAAGAAATGAGGCTTAAAACTACTTTAAAAGAGTTCTTAAGGTGAATTAGTTTTCTAGGAGAGCATTCTTTTAAGGAGTAAGAAAATATAAGGCCATACGTCACCCAGTAACGGATCCACTTATCCAAGATATGCTACTGTAAACCATTAAGCCTAGTTTCTGAAATCAAAGACATTTAGTTTGTGATATTTGGATAAGCTTGATTATTAGAGGAGTTCAAAAAACATCATCTGTGAGACAGAAATGGAAAATAAACCTAGAATTATTGCGAGAGTCTAGAATGTTATGATACCACTCTACTTTGGTTCACTAACCATCCAAAGCTAGTAACCTTATTTTGCTTTGTCATATTGATAGGTTCCATCGACAACACATACGTTTCTTAATGAGGAAAAAGAAGGGGACAGGAGATGTCTTACCTTCTAACACTTCAGCAGCTACAAACATTATAAGCCCGGAGCAGACATATTGTGGCACAGTGTATGGGCTTACAATATGAAAGCTCCCAAGTATACCAAGAAATACCATAATTTCAGATGCCAACAAAATTTGCCTGCAAGCCGAAGAAACTATCAGAACCCCATAGCAAATATTCAACATAATAGTTGCATGATCTTGATTCTGCTTTCGTGTGATTAGATAGTGATTTTCAAGAAGTGATTGCAATTTTAGTAGAACGAAATCATATAATAAATAAGTGAATATACAAATTAACATGGATTAGAGGCGGAGCCACAACAAAGACTATCTGTGCAATGATCCACAAGCAAGGAATTCAATGCACTAGAAAAGATGGAAGGACCAAAAAAGAAACTCTTGCACTTACTACTGGCTGGAAGGAAGCATTTCGATGCAAGTAAAGGAAAGTTATTTCATCCTCATTATAATGCATCAATGTGAGCACCAAAAATTTATATCCAGGAAAATTTTAGAAAATCTAGCCTCATGTCCAGAATGTAAGCATCCAAAGCATGCTGTGGTGCAAAAGATATTACCTGTCCTCAAACATATTACTTATGTAGCTCCCAACAACAACATTTATTGGAAGAACCGTGAGGCCAAGACATGCAAGAAAAATTGCCACAGTGCCCGTTGACCAGCTAAAGTAATATGTCGTAACAACACTGGATTCTGAAAGTAAAATCTCCATAGCATATTTCAGCATGAAGTAGATTAATAATTGAACCTGGAAAGATGAAAGAGTCAAGTCACCATTCATTTATAGTTAAAATCTTAAAGCAGATTTAAATTATACTTAGTATGCTTTTTTTTTCCCCATATGCATACAAAGAGAGATCCATCCTTTTCA